AGACGAAAATAAAATCCATGTACCACTAACTAACTAGCAAAGCCTAATAGGTTCAAGTAATTTACTTGTAGCAAGCTAAGTTTAAGAGCAGAAAGCACAAAAAACTAATGGGAAGACTAGTGAAATACTGGAATAGATAACTTAGGTAAGTATTCATAACAAATCTTTAGGCAGACAGGCAAGCGCTCATTTAAAAAGGCAGCTTCAATTCATCCTGGCTTGGAAGGAAGAGTGAGGGAGTGGGTATGACACCTTCTTGGAGTAACTTTTAAGTGTATGATTCTATGCTGAAGTGACCAAAGAAATACAGCTATGTAGTGATACCACATTACAGTACCATTTGCTGCGGGATCTTGACTTGGAAAGAAAGTCAAGACTCAACCAATTTTTTCATGTACACAACCACTTGGATTCCTATACAATCTATGGATCACTTAGCTACATTGATCCAATCTGCAGCTTCTTTATCCAACAGTTTAATGCTAGTTACTTCCAGGGCTGGACTATACATAACCAATGCCTAATCTAGCCCCAGGATATAGCATTTTGCTTCTTAAGAGGAATTACTTAGTAACTTGTCCCATGGCCTTGAGGCCAGACAACAGTAGCAACAGCTACTAATAACACCAAATTCCAGATGTAGAGTCTAGTGGAAATTTTTAAAGGAATTAGCTTTACAATACTTTGCTTTAAAAATCTAGATATACTCCAAATTTTTGATCCTCTATCTCTAGCTTACTATTAAGTTGGGATCATTAGTTTGTTTGGTTTTGGTTTTAATTTTTTTTTTTGGGGGGGGGGGGGGTTGTTTTTTTTTTTTTTTTTTTTTTTTTATTTTTTTTTTGGGGGGGGGGGGGGTTGCTTGTTTGTTTTTAATTTAAGCCTAAAACTTTTTATTGGCAGATCGACTTTAATTATTAGAATCAAAATCCTGTAAAAAGGGCACAAGTCTTTGGAGAGTTAATACAAAGTAAGTAAAGGACCTTCTCTAGTCAACTATTTTGTTTCCAGTAAAAGTATATATGATTGCTATAATGTAAGAACACAGGACAAGTGTACAGCTGACATCCTAATTAGCAACTAAGTATAGAAAAATTAATATTTTCCAACTTCATTTCAATATTCTTGCTTTTTATTCTATATTAAGTAGCATATAGAAGTAGGAAAGTTACATAGCCATGCATATTTCCTACATTTAAATTACTTAACACCAGGTAAATGATCCAAGGAAAGCAGAACAAACCTCCATCATGATTCACGTTTTGGATAGTGAGAACTAAACTATTAGGAAAAGAAACGTTTTCAAAATGTATAAAGACCATGACACTTGAAATACAACAGCAATATAGCGAGTATCAGGTGTTCTCAAAGTTTCTACAGACAACAAAGTAGCTCCCACTCAAAACATCGTAACTTGACAAAGTTACAAACATCTGTGCTTCAAATAAAATCCTTTAAAATACATCTCACCTATACGCAATTCCTCTCTGATAATGTGTACATATTGCCCTTTTCACAAGCTTTACAAAGAGGCACAAAACGCCACACCACCTCCACCCTCTAATCAGTAAAGGTGCCAAAAAACCACGGTCCCAAAGTGAAATGCGCCCCCGGTTTGCCCCTTGAGGTGTCCGCAGCGTACTCACCATGGCGGGCTAGTTTTGAAGACTTTCTTCCCCTCCCCCTGCACCTATGCACGATGAGGGAAAATGGAGAGCAGTTTCAGCATTAAATTTGAACTTCCCTGCTTTTGTTAGCATGAGTCACCACCTTAACATTATCTCAGCTGTAGACTTTTATCTGTGAATATCTAAACCCTGTCTTGTGGAAAACTAATTACTGAGCCACTGAGAGGCTTCATAATGTCCTGCATTTAAGTCCTGAACATCATACATAATGCATAGGAAGCAGTCTCTGCACTCTGATTACAGAACACTGTCATTAAGAGAGCAAATTAAAGATGTGAATAATTCACTGGCTGAGCTTATTGTCAGTGCTGCATTGTGAAATTAGAATTTCTAATAAGTACTGCAATTTTTTTAACCCAATTAACACAGAGAACATCTTGAGTCTGATTAGTACAATAAAAATTATTACCTTATTCTTTTGCTTCACAACAGTCAAATTAAATACTGTACTTAATTATGCAGCATTCATCTCTTCTGTGCTAGAAATAGTAATAATAATAAAAAATTCTCACTATCGCTTTAATAAGACTTCCGATATTTAGAGTGCAACCAAAAAATAGAGCACATGAATCTCCTGCACAATTTCTTATCATGAAGTTACTGGCTTTTTTTTTTCCAAAGACTTTGAAAATCGGTTTTAATATCGGCAGTCAACCATGATGTCACTGCTGAAGTCTTCTCTGGAAACAAAAACGTATTCAGAAAAAAACACCACAAAATGACCCTTCCGAGCAGGCTCTGAATATATATTGTGAATTAACTTTCTCTGGGTTGATGTGAAGGTAGGAAAAAAAAAGCATTACCACTCACTGCCTTGAAAACGAATACACAAATATACAAACATATATATATACACACACACACACATATATATATATAGGCTGTTTTAGAGAAGATGCTTAGGAAATATACTATGAAAAAACAGGAGCTGGATCAGCTCTCTTACCTCAGTTCCCTCTTGGCACGGGATAGATAACATCCTTTCATCCCAGGAAGGAGAAAAGTCCAATTTAACATCCAGTGTGTTGATTTTTTCCCACACGATGCCTGCTGCCATGTTAAATAAAGAAAATCATCACTGAGGATGCAGCTTTTGTCTCCAAATATTTGAATACTGCCTTTTAGTGACAAGGACCCCAGGAACCTTCGCACATCTGGCAGCACACACCACTGGCTGCAGCTGCTGCAATGGGATTTTTCCTCAACCCTATTTCATTTCGAGCTCCTTTTCTTCCCCATCCTGAGGAAGTTTAATCACCGAGCATGGCTGGGGAAGAAAAAAAAAAAAAAGAAAAGAAAGAAAAAAAGGAAAGGTGGCATTGCAATCCCAAGCTTTCTTGGTTCTTTCCTAGAGACAGGGACTGCAGCAACCACCTTGCATCTTTGTCTAGTTATTTCAGCATGTGCGTGCAAGAGGGGAGGAAAAAAAAAAGAGTGAAAATTATTCAGGCATAATGCAATAGACATAAAGAGAGACAAAAAGACAGGGAGAGAAAGAGAGGGGAAGAGAAAGAGGGAGAGAGAGGGAGAGAGAGGAAACAGAAAGACTAAGAGAGGGAGAGGGGGCTGTCAGTGCAGATAAATCTGCATATGGAAATCAGGGTTATCCTGGGTACAGTTTTATTTAACCATGATGTACTGTTTTTTTAATTAGAGAGGAATTTAAAGAAGGAAATGAGAGATTCTTACAGACGCAGGAGCAAACGAAGCATTTTGAATCATACCAGAGTTTTCACAGCAATATGTAGCAGCAACAACAAAACTTTTTATAGCAACTTTCTTACTAGAAGCAAGTTCCGTGCACTGCTGCTTAGCTTGCACCCGAAAGCTAGACAAAAGTGGAAAAGCATTCATTTTGAAATGAAATCAAACCACAGCAATCCGAAATAATCTAATTTTTTTAAAAAAGACCAGAAGCCACTGGGTGCACAGTATGCGTTTTAAGCTACGTTGTGCTAGGCACAGGTTTTAGGACTTTCACCCTAGACCTATTCAGTCACTCTAATCTCTGGTGACTGACATACCCAATGAAGGTGCTTTAGTAAATGATAGGAGTGTTACCCAGCTTGAATTTCAAACACACTAAACAGTACTTGATGAGAATTTCTTGTGCTTGGAGATGTTGAGCATTACCTGGCAGAAAGGGAAGGTTGGATCTGGGTCTATAGGGCATCAGAAAAGACCAGAGGGACCTTTTGCCCATCTCTGTGAGGGAGCTGAACTGAGAAGGTCTAAGAGAAGAAGGAAAATGAAGTTATGAAAAGGCTGGACAAGAAAGAAACTAGGGAAAGGTAGTGGACAATTGGAGTACAAGGGAACTTGTAGGAAATATGAGGCAAGACTACTTACAAGAGGATGTAGTGCCAGGCCAAGGGGGAATGGGTTCAAATTGAAAGAGAGTAAATTTAAATTAGATATAATGAAAAAAAATCTTTACTGTAAGGGTGGTGGGACACTGGAACAGGTTGCCTAAGAACTTGTGGATGCCCCATCTCTGGAGGTGTTCAAGGCCAGGTTGGATGGGGCTCTAAGCAATCTGGTCTAGTGGAAGGTGTCCCTGCCCATGGTAGGGGAGTTGGAACTAGATTATCTTAAGGTCTCTTCCAACCCAAACCATCTTGATTCCATGATTCTGCGAGTACAAGGGAAGCTACATCTGATGTGGGCACTAAGTAGCTATGGCAAGATGGTGGTGTTCAGGTGAGAGGTGGCCAGACAACACGGGCACAGGACGGTCACGGAAGCAGGGAAACCAAGGCGGCTGGGGGACACTGGGAGGAGCAGCCGGGGCCGCACGCTGCGATTCGCCCTGGGGTGGGCGGGGCGGAGCAGAGCAGGCGACGTGAAACGGGTAGAGGAAGAGATCGCGCGGGCGCTCCCCCGCCGCGCGGGAGGGAGGAGCAGGAGGAG